CCTAACCCTAACCCTAACCCTAACCCTAACCCTAACCCTAACCCTAACCCTAACTGATTAGAAGATAAATATTTTCTTATATATATAGTATACTTATTTATAATAGATAAAATCTTCGTAGTTAATTCTAATTATTATCTTATATTTCTCTTATTATCTTTTTTATCTAACTATAGCTACTATTTTCTAAATATAGTATCTAGTAACATTTTAAATAGCGGTAGTAAACCCTTAATAATTATAATATTCTTTTAAAATAATATTAAGTAGCTAGATTAAAATAATCTACGCGGAAAAGATTACGCTATTAATAGATATAAATCTACTTAATAAGAAGTATAATCTCTAGATAAACTACTAGTTCGGTAGTAGTAAGCTAGACGAGGCCGTTAACGCCCTAAACGAGCTTATTAAAGCCATCGCGATAAGAATACCCGGCTAAGCGTAATAGAAACTAGTATAAGACGGGCTGCTGGCGGCGAACGCGCTGTCGCGTGCAGGCGTCGCCGAGGATTCCTTCGCGGTAGGACTTCTCACACGAGCGCGCCGAGCCCCCTTTAAGTATATCGCCTCGGGCCTGCTCGTCCCGACCGTAGACTCGTTCGCAGCCGCGTAGCCGTTTACCTCTATCGCCAACGCCAACGATAGCGACGACGACGAGGACACCCAGCCCATCCCGCCCGTGCTACTCTTCCGCGTAGAAAACGACGCGCGGTACCACGACGGCGGCGACGACGACGAGCCGCCCTTTGACGCGCCCTACCGCGCGGCGTGCGCGGGCATGCCGGCGGGGCTGTACACGGCGGCGGCGGACCCGCGGTCGAAGGACGTGGCCGAGGGCGGCGGCGTACTGGCGCTGCCGTTCCGCGTCGGCGGCAGCGGGCGCGCGCGCCGCAGCGACCGCTCGCGCTTCGACAGCGCCGCCGCCGTCTTCCAGCTCGGCCTCGTGCTGCGCGCGTAGCGCCGCCTGGTCGAGGCCGGCCACTGGCCCATCGGCGGGCGCGGGGTGCTAGGTGGGGTGGAGACTTTTCGCCGCGCGGATACCGAGAAGAATTGGCGGAAGTACTGGATTGAGCCGTCTTAGTAATATTTTCTTTCTTTCTTTTTTTTGGTAGAGGGGGACGGTACGGGATATAATGATTGTAGAGCTGAATAGTATAGGTTAGCGGCACGTGCTAGTATAATGATTATAAACCATGTGGGCTACGAAAACTTATCAATGCAATAATGCAGAGTACCCCGCTTGAACGAGTCAAAGCGCTGCACTTTAACGCCCGGTGCGGCGGATCGGCCCGGCTCAGGCCATGAATCATCGTCCGCTCTCTTGGCGGCGGTCGTCAGCGTTTCCTCGTCTCCGCACCTCCGCAGCTCCGCCGACCCTCTATATAAACTCGTCATTGCCAACTCCACGTCAATATGGTGCGCGCGAAAGCCGGCAGCTGTCTACCAGCATCGCCAACTCATGGTATGTTGCCGGACGAGCTGTCCTGCACGTCTGCTGACCCGATTGCAGCAAAGCGGCCTCAGGCAATTGGGAAAGGAACGCGACCGCACAGCATCAGCAGTGTTGCACGTATCAGTTAATCCATCCTAAGCTCGGGAACACCGGTGCTAGCAGTCCGGTAAGTCTTCCCTGCTTGACCGCATGGCCCTGAGCTTATGAGACTGTAGCTGCACCCTTCCACGTCCACATACCAAAGCGCAAACCTATCGACACGTCGGGTCGGGTAAACCAGCACAAAAGCTACAGCGGCCGGCTCCGACCACGGAAGAGGACGCGCACACGGAAACGGCCAGCGACGAGGCGGTTAGCAACAACCCTATTGACTGCTGGCGGAAATACGAGCGGTGGCCTTGGAAGTTTTTCGAGTCCGAAAACGACATGAGTCACTTACTTGCGAGGAAGGAATCCACTTCCACACTTCGCCGGAAGTCATCGGTGCCGTGGGCCAACTCGAGCAACATCACCCCCACGCAATCCAATCAAAACCCCAGGGAAGCAAAAAGCGCGCCATACAGGGATAAGAGATATGAGACGCTTCTCGAGATGAAAAACAGTTTTCTGCGTAAGGATGACGCTGGGGTCAAGAAGGAGGCGAAAAAGCTGTGCCGGGATCTCCTCGAGATGGAACAGGCAGCACCCAAAGACACGCTGTTTAGCGAGGACATCTTCGAGGAAACTTGCGAGATAATGCGGACGAGAAACGAAGCTCGACTCACCCGCGACGTCACGTTGTTGATCGTTCCCTCGGCGGAAATTCACACGATACGCCACCCTCGACACCTAAGGATTCTGGTGGAGACTGTCAACCGAGGCTGGATCAAGTCAATTCCTTTATTTAAACCTCGTCCACAACCAGACTATGCAGTCGGATTCCGTCCGTCGGCCTTTTCAGAAAAACATCTCCAACGTCTGAAGCCCTTCATTGGAACTGCGTTGGAAAAGTCGTACTTCGCAGTGACGCGGTACATGTACTTCCCCTTTCTTACTTGCGAGGTCAAGTGCGGCGCGGTGGCGCTAGATGTCGCGGACCGGCAGAACGCCCATAGCGCGACGCTCGCGGTACGCGCCGTTGTAGAGCTATTCCGGAAAGTAGGGCGTGAGAGTGAGGTCAATCGCGAGATTCTAGCCTTTTCTATCTCACATGACTATAGATACGTTCGCATCTACGGTCACTACGCCGTAATTGATGGGAAGAACACGAAGTATTATCGTCATAACATTGACGATTTCAGCATTACAGCTCGGGAAGGCAAGGAGAGGTGGACGGCGTACAAATTCACCAAGAACGTCTACGACAACTGGATGCCCGACCACTTCAAGCGCATCTGCTCCGCCATCGACGATATCCCCGAGGTCGATTACGATGCGTCTCAGTCGGAACTGCGGTTTTCAGGCCATACGGGTCTTTCGCAGGAGCTGGAAAGCCACCACCTTTCGCAGTCACAGGAGTCGGCATCGGTTCCTCGTCGAGAAGATGGGTCAAGCGTTGCTTCTGTTGGAGCCCCGACTCCTGACACGCCTCTTTCTCAGAGCTTCAGGAAGCGGAAGCGGAATTAGAGATTTCTCGCAGTCTGTGCGTGTTTTTTCTTTTCTTTCTTTATCGCCCGTTTTATTCCGCAGGCGTTGCATGGTTCTTTGGCAATTATGTTTTCCGATATGTACTCCATCGAGTATGTTGACTTTCTGAAGAGGAGCTGGGGCATGAAGATGGTTTGCTTGATAGGGGCCTATGTTTTAATGGGTAATCCCTTGCTATGTATTAAAGGGTGAAACATTTCGCTCATCAACAATTCGACGATTTGTCAACTCCGTGCAACATCGGATTTCTTGTCATTAATGTATACGGGCAAGAGCACAGTACGCCATTAATCAGAGGGAAGAAAACTCGAAGTACATAAGTAGTAGAGACAGCTTGGGCATGTGTGCTCAGTGAAGACATGTCGTTGTGGTCAGGTTAAAGTAGGAGACTGTGAGGGCTCGTGGACGACAGTCTTGTCACCACATAACATGCGCTTGCGGTCGTCGGTGCCACGCCATTCCCCGCCTGGCCCCGCTGCCTTTGCCAGCTCCGGCTCCAACTCATCCCACTCCTGGTCCGTTGCAAGTGCCAGGAGGTCTGCAAATGCTTGCATCCTCGCATGCGGCGGGAGATCTTCGATCTGCTCCCGCACCTGAGATGTCATCAGATTCCACTCCAGGCTGACGTGCACCCGGCCGTCGAGCGAGACCAGCGCATCCGAGCGGTTCCAGAGGCACGTCTCGAAATGCTGGATGACGGTCTCCACCACACTGCCCGCATATGTCCCCAAATAACCCGGTTCGCGCAGCCTTTCAAGCGGGATCCGCTGCAGCAGGCACGTTATTGCTTTCTCGAGGGCGCGCCCTTGCATGATGCCAAGATTTAGGACATGTGGTGCCCTTCTATCGTCCAGGATGCTCCTCCGCACAGCATCCTCGGCGCTGCTCTCTAGATACTTCAACACGTCCTTGCGCATGGGATATGGGCTGTGAGGCGGTAAGTCACGTTCGGGGGTTTCTGAGCGGCGTTCGGGCAATGGAAAGTTGGCCTGGTTGATTTCACCAGCCAAGGTGGCGGTGGACTGGGACTCCGCCTCTCGCTGCCGTTTGCTGCGACCCTCAGCTGCTCTGTCGCCGGTATCCGCCGCTTTACTGAGCTCCTCCCCGTCTTGTGGCGGTTCTGTCTTTTCCGGTCCCAGAAAGCTGCATTTCTCGCAGTGGTAGCGCGTGTGCGAGATCAGGAGAACGTCGGGTGCTGCGCTGTCCTTGTCGTCGATGGAGAAGGCCTCGACTTTGGAGCCAATTGTTTCAATGGGAACAATGTCCAGGTCGTTGCTCGCGAGGATTTCGCGCTCGTGCTGTCCACTCTGGCGGCCAGGTTGCGTGTCCTCGGGACGCTGGTACCATTGCAGGGCACACAAAACAGCACCCGCGCGAGTGATGGCGAATTCCAGGATTCTGCCCACCCAGCAGTCATGCAGCAGCTGGCAAGGCGGTTTCTGGGGCCATTCTTCGTCCATGTGCACGAGCACAAAGTCGCCTTTCTGCAACAAAAGGCAGGGTCCGTCGTCGGGCTCGTAGGAGACCGAGTCTCTCCGTTGGAGTTTCGTCCACCACCTGGTCACCCAGTATCCTTCCATCTGGTATTCCTGGGCTATGCTGTCTCCGAGCTTGAAACGGATGAAGTGCTTCCTGGGCCATGAGATAAGCTGGTAGGTGCGCCGGGGAGCAGACATGGTGGGTTCGATGTGGAAAGCGTGGAGCTGAGCATTTCGCCTCAGCTTGAGCTATATGCACGAAACAGCCAGCGATGTCCTGTCGGGAATATGCAGGTATGCACACTGTGGTCCGTCTCTGTATCATTCCGGGCAACACGGGTAGTTGCCGGAGCTCTTACAGCAAGCCCATGCTCGCTTTTCGCCGTCTTAGAAGACTTCGTGTCGCCAGGATATGGCATTAATACGAGTTATTGCATTATTGGATGCTGAGGAAGCAAGCATTGATTTTACTGACTCTGATGGGGCGAATAGCCAAGCGGAGTCGAAACCCGATTGGTGTTGAGTCACGTGCTAGGTGGCATCACTTAATCAGGACGCCAAGGCCCGGCCACGTCACACAACGTCCGCTCCCACAGCTGCGCCCTCCCTTCTCATTCTCTCGCCCGCCTGCCGCAAGCTGCACGCAAGTTGCCGTCCATGGCCTTTAATGCTTCCGCCTTCGCGCCCCGCAAGCTCGCGGGCAGCGGCCCACCCCCTCCCCATCGGCTCCGCCACGTTCCGATGGTGCCCGTCACCTCATGTCTGGTGTTTCTCGTTTAGCGCGCCCGTCTTGGCCATTGTCCCTTAGCCTTCCTATCGCAAGCTTAGCTGGTATGTGCAAGCTCGTTTCTTTGTCCAGAGTCAGGGCTGCTCTTAAAAAGCCCGGGTGGGCGGGTGGGGTCAGGAAGTTGCCGGCGGTTGTATGCTGGTGAAGCATTTTCCGCGGTGTGCTCCAGTTGGTAGGACTCTACAGTTAGTTGTCTAGTCAGCCAAACTCTCTGTAGTTGTCGCTACATCAACGTGGTACCCTCGGGGGCGTACTCTGACGTAGTGCTTGAATGCTGCTACATGACATGCGGATCTAGTCACAGCTTTGTGCTGCTGGCCCTCCGCGCAGTCGCCATCGATCACGATGGTTGTCAGTGTACGCTTCTGTGCTTCATCAGCCAACTCTGCATCTTCCGAGCTTGGAGCCAAGGCTGCTCCTCCAAAGAAAGCCTGGGCGGGCGGGCATCCCGCACCTCTATGCGGGGGGTTTATCTTCCCCAACAAGCTTACATAATGCGAATAGACCATGGCCACTCATCCCTTCTTCGGCACTTTGAACCCCATTGTCCAGGAGTGGGCTATCGTCCAGTGGGTCGACACAGCGACGAAGGAGAGTCGACACATGGGCCAGCTGGGTCCGCGCCAGGGTGCGACTGGAGCAGACTTCTCCCTATGCGTCGGTTTGAAAGGCCATGAGCTCCTGGTTGCGTTCCATCTTCCGGTTCCACTTCGCCCTGTACCTACCAAGGCGCCGAAGCCCATGTACGTCGTCTTACCCGTTGAGAGTCTTGTGATGGGCGTATTCTATGCAACCATCTCCTCTGCCGACATTCCGGCCATGCTGCGTGAAGAGCTACAGAAGAGCGACCTCCAGGCCGGTACCACTTTCCTCCACGTCAATATACGCCTGGATCAGCCCCCAGGCGTCCTTATGCACTTGCCGCAACCGATAAAGAAGCCAATCACGGGAGTCCCTCTTGAATTGCTCTCAAGCTTGAAGTCGCTTTCCGAGTCGCGCATATTCAACCTATGTCTACAAGAAGACAAGGCCATCAGCGAGCAGCTCTTTCGCATCTGTGACATTATCCACGGACGAAGTTACAATACTCCAGCAAACCAGCTTGTTTCGAAGTGGGCGAAGGACAAATGGGATGCGTTTCCAACCCAAAACGGCACCTTGGCGACGCCACTCTGTCTACCTCCTCTGTGCAATGAGAACCCCCCGGTCTCAGTTCCTGCTTGTCAAGCGCCACCTGAACAGGCTCTCGAACGCCGAAACATTGGGTTCCAGCCCCAAGAACCACCGCAAACTGCCGCCTCGCCCGCCGAGACTGTGACATGCTACGCCTCCACCGAGATGACCGCAACGAGCGTTTGCTTCACCGATGAGCTGGATATGGACGAGCCCCTGTCTACGCAGGCGATGCGCCTCGAAGCGATTCGCGCGCTGCTCGCAACGCTCCTTAACGAGACGTCAACTCCCGGATCCTCGTTGAACGAAGTGCAAACGGACCTCGTTGTTGACTTGGCCGAGTGGCTATACCACGCGTGGGCTTTCGACCCTGTCGCGCACTGGACATTTTGCGCCGACCTGGGCAAGCTTGCCGTGGCTGCTCGAACCTGCAACCACCGCGTTTTCGACATATTGCGGATCCGATGCCAGCAGCGACTGATGTTGGATAACCCCGTCGAAAAGTCTGCTAGACACGTTAACCTGCCCTCGACCCTTAAAGACAAGATCAAGGATCTGATTGATTACGTTTACACGAACGTTGCCCGAAACGCTGATATACTCATTCGTGACGAGGTGATACAGCTGCGATGTGCTTCGTTGCGTGTGGAAGCCGCCCGTGCGGATGGAGATTTGGATAATGGCATGACTGAGGATGAATTTGGCTGTCGGCTGGCTCTCTGCGTTGTCATGGCGTTTTTCAAGACTTGGGGGAGTGCGGAATTGCGGACTGTTTAATGACATGGTCACTACCGAAGGCGGGTTTATCATAGATCGAACGCGTACACCAGTGTGATGAGCTAAGTTTCTCTCGTTTTCAGAAAACTCTATAAGAGCCGCTGTAATATGTCATCTAAGCTTGTAGTTCTTTAGACTACACTCAAGCTTATAGCTACTCAGAGTGACCCGTCCTATTTGCCATCCGTCCTATGGTGGGGGATAGGTGTCCACCGAGACAGTCACTTAGCGCCGCTCATCACCTTCTGTTTTAGAAGAGGAGGACAACTGAATCTGTCCGTGGCGAGAGAAGACCCGGGACACTGCTGCTGAGGGAATTTCCGCTTGCTCTGCGGACGCACTCAAGGACTGATTCGTTCATTCGGCCAGTTTTTCACTTTATGGATTTTGCCCTAAGCCCTCGTTTACGACGTCTACCATCATCAGTATCTAATCACCTTCATGCCTGCTGCCTGCCTCGGTAATAACTGTGGCATGAGAAACCCTCCTCAGCTCCAAATATATGATCGACAGTCAGCAGGCCATGCTTCCGCATGACTGCATTCCATGATATATGCGCTGTCCACTTCGGGAAATGGTCTATGCTAGCGCCAGCTTGACATGTATTCTTTTCCTGGTCACTGCTGCAACTCATTAGTCTTCAATGCAGCGCCATTTGCCAGTCTCCACTGACGCGTATTCCTTGGCCACATCCGCCGATAAGGCAGGAGATTCGTCCTTGATGGAGGGTCATTCAGACCTATTACTGATCCCAACATTGGTACATGGTGCGAAGGTGAAAATACAAGGGTCATCCATCTTGTGACGTTGCGATTTCCTTGTGCGCTCGAGGAGTGACAAGATGCCTCATGGGATGGCATAAATTTCTGTGCAGGAAAAAAGGCGACAAACCTGCGCGATGTACCAAGCCATCTCAAATCAAGAAGCCCGTGCTCTACTGCAACGAGCGGCCTGTGACGGTCTGAGCTTGTAGCCGTGCATTGCATGAAATCCCCAATGCCCTGGAGGATGCGCCCGTGTTTCCGACGATCTACGAATGCAACAGGCTATGCACATGTACATTGTCGGAACCATTGGCTTGGGCTAACCATTAGTCCGATACTATGCAGGCTGGCTTGTTGAACGAGTCGGTAGGCACGAGTGGGTACCAACTGCGTTGAATAATTGTTGGCTAGAAGGAAATTACGAAAGCTTTTGTTCTAATGTAATCCTACAGGCATACAAAACACGCCACTATTCTTGGCTCAGCTGACCGAGACCAGCTGTGTGCCCCACCCGAGTTCGAAACCAGGTTGAGGGAAAGGGTGATTCTCACATGCCCCAACCCCCAATCTGTGTCGACCGCTGCCATGGAATCAACTCTCATTAAAGCCTGAGAAGGCTTCGAAATTAATCAATACATTGCCAAAGACGTATTTCATGCTTTCAATCTCCCTCCCAATCATCGTGAGTCAAGAAGTGGCAGTGCTAGTGCCAAAACACCGTGACAACCGTCCAGGATTTGTCAGCGGATCTCGACGCCGTCTCCTAACTTTCAAAGGGTTGAAGCTGAAACTGTCCAGAAAGCCTAGTTTCCATGAAGTGAAATACGGCCAACTGCCATGCTCGAATTCAATCTGTGCGGCGACACTCGCCAATCAATTTGCGGTCCAAGTTCCAGCTTTCAAAGCTTCGGAGGACGAAGTTTGGAGAAAACGAAGCAGATCAGAACCATGGATAAACGCAGCGGTAGGGCGAACTGATTCGTTGTACGCTAGATGCACAGGAGACAACAGATACAGATGGACGCTGAAGCAGTGGACAACAGACGAGATCGAGTCGATGAGCGAGAGGAGTGGTAGAAATGCGAAATGGGCCAAGTAACTGCCCTACCATCGATTCGTGCGCATCCCAACGCTAACAGTCAATGACTTCGCAGCAGATACCCATGCCTAGTGAGGAGCACATAGACAGCCCAAATCTCTGCGATCCGTTCTCAATCAGGCGGTCCCGCCAATGCCTACACTACGCCATGCATAGAAGCCTCTGAGAACCTTAAATCGAGCTACAAGTCGGAGTACGCCTTTTCAGTACTGATGCTTCAACAACAGCAGCATGTGAAAAGGCTGCTACTGAGAAATTGTTCCAGCAGAGAACATTTCTCGGCAATCAGCGGTTGCGAACGCAGGTGACGCCAGCAAATCTTCCCTCTTCCATAGGCCCGCATTAATTAAGTTGGCAGAATCAGCGAGCACCACCTACCCAATAGGATTTGTACCCTCTTTACATTTCCGACTCCACCAACCCCAATCCAAACGACGCGATAGTGCCAGGCTCGGGTGCATCCGCCCTCACAGCCACAACTCCCCCTCCTCCCGCTTCTGTGACCTTTGTGCCCCGACGTACATGGGCAATCCTCATGCTGTGGGGTATGCTGCATATGAAAACCACATGTCTGTCCGGTGGAACGTTTTTCGGAGGGTTTAGGATGACGTCTCCGTTCCGAGTAGCGGAAACAGTGGTCGTGAGGCAATGAAACGAAGCGTGGCTTTGGGGTATGGCAAAGGTCGCTCGCCTCGCGTACTCCCGGAGACGTTGTGCTGTGGTGCCGTCGATAACCCTTGATCTTCAACGTTCACGCCCATCTGTAGGACCTGCACCACTCTGCCTTGTTGTTCTTTCTTCACTGTACGCATGTGCTGGAGTCGGCATACCTTGCCCTTCTTTGAAAAAGAGGAATAAATAAAACCCCACGTGATGTATGTAAAATATCAGGAGAAATTCATTTTGTAGTCACTACGCTGATGTGTATGTGTGCCCTTAATAGCTCTGTCTACACCTTCTTTTGGCTGGGGCACAGAGGACAGGCGGCGGGTGGGTATTACTCCAGGACGATGTTCGTAATTACAGAATGAACAGGGAATTCATTGAAAGAATAATTCCATGTAATCTTTTCCATCGCCATTGGGTGCACAAATCGATAGCGGTGAAGTCACGAGCGCTAGTAGCTTCCCCCTTCTGCCAGCCTCAGCTCTTCACATGTCCCGCCGTGCTTGCCCGCTTCATTTGGCTCTTAGTATTAAGGACATGGTTCCACACCCGAAAGGTACCCTACAAATTCTTCGCCAGAACGAAAACTATCCAACACCTTTCAATGCAATACTTTACTCTCTACAAAGCAACAATAAACTATCCAAAAGTGTACTCGTTTCCATGTTCCTGCCGGAACTTCTCAAACTGCTCACCAATGCGTAACGTGTGGCTACCTGGAAGCTCCACGCATTCTCGTAGTAGATTGATTGTCAGCGCAAGACAGAAAGACAGCTGGCAGCGCTGACCATGGTCCTCCAATGAGCAGTGCATTGATTGTATTTCAATGCTCAGATGCTTCAGTGCATGGCCGTACGCTTTCCATATGCATACGATGCTCCTCACAGTGGTACTGAACGACTGGAGGTAACACTCCTTTCCATAAGGGGGAATATTGTAGCTGAACTGGACTTTTTGCAGGGAGCAAAGAATAAAGCGGCTCACAAAGTGAGTGATATGCCGCCTGATACATGTTTGACGTTGTATGCCAGTACGTAAGTGGAATACCTGCTGTTCTTGAAGAACATCTTGAGCTTCGATAGAGACTTGGCGGTTAACGAGAAGGAGCGAGGGAGTATGGAGTATATATGCGTCCTTGCTGTCGACCATCCCGTCGTTGAATTTCTCGATTGTCCTGGATATGTTGTTGAGATCAACGGCATAGCGATAGACGTATTGTCGAAGCTCAAGGGGCAGCCGCAAGAACGCAAAATTGGAAGGGGCATTGCTGTTGCCTGGATTGTGTCTCTGCGTGGGTGAATTTTGAGTCGGTGGTCTCGTATGGGCCTTCAACCAAGGTGGCTCAGCTCTTGTCATCCAGACCCAGCGCGAGGACGCGCCCGGAAATGCTTCTTCAGTGTGTTCTTCAAGCCTCGCGGGAGCCGGTTCCCATACAGCTCTGTCCCACCAAACATGGCCCGAAGCGCTTCCCACCGAGCGGTTGGCAGCGAGCCGTGGAGACGTTCGGGCAAACCGAACATACATGCGCCGGATGCTCCCAGGATTATCCGGGTCGGCCACGGCCTCCAACCGATATGGACCAGAGACCCAATCTATTTCCGTTATCTCCGAGCTTCGGCGTCGGTAATCTAAGGTGTAATAGAGCTTCAATCTGTAATTGTTCGAATCGACGTGGTAGAAATGGAACAGAAATTCGTGCATTCTCTGAGAGGCGTATGTTAGCCTTTGTGCTCGCCAATAAACAATCCAGGACTTTTCCTTATACTCACCTGCCAGTCCATTGGAGGAAGCATATGGGGTTCTCCCAGGCTTCCACAAAGCGGTACAATCTCGATGCACGAGACGGGCGGAGGGTGCCACATCGACATTGCGATTTTTCCCGGCGAGAAAGGTATTGCTGATGATTGCCAGCACGGTGGTGAAGGAGACGGTACTGGTGAGATGACCCAGCCTCTATCGGGCTCGCGAAGGAAAAGGGCTAATAAGTAGAACAAACGGTCTCGCACGATCCACCGCGCGTTTGTCAAAGTCGCGTCGTTTGTACTACCCTTATGCCGCCACACCGCACGCGTTTGAAGGACCCACCCGGTTCGTTTGCTTCAAATCAGCCGCACTATCCTCAATAGCGCCGCATTCTGCTTATCTGCCAAGCGTTGGGGCGGAAGCCGGCCTGGTTTTGCAGGGAGCTTGGCGTGCTGAAAGCTTCGTCGTAGTCCACCCAGCAACTCGCATCGCTGTGCAACGACGGCGAGTCAGAGTGTCGTTTTAATAGGCTAAAACCATTAGGTTTGTAGGTGCGAATGTGGTACGCTGGGTGGGGGCTCAGACGCGAGCCAAGACTTCCATGGACCTGCCATGACGCCCTGTCGCATCTTCCTGCTGAAGAGCGAACTGAAGTGTGGAGTGAGGTGATGAAAAGAGTGGATTGCTCAACTATGTTAACATACAGGGTAGGGTCGAATATATAGACA